TTGTAATATAAAATATAATTGACATAGGGTAGGGCGGGGCACAAAGGTCCAATTTGACTTTCAATTCTGTGAGTACATTTGTTACAAAGATAACAGTGTATATTACATTGATCTGCTATTGGTTACAAATATTCATCAGGAGAGCCGGAATAACAATTTATTTAATTAATCTCTTGTAAAATTGCTTTTTTTAAAACTTTACTACTTTATTGCATACACTTTTGCCAAAGTAAAGGTTCAGCCGGTCCTTTTATCCCATCATGTGCTGCTTATCTTCTGATAGCAAAGTCATAAGAATAAAGGTGATGGCTGGTTATGATTTTATTACATTTATGATGGCTGGTTATGATTTTTGATACATTTTTTGGCCTCTGCTATCAAATATTTATGTTAAAAAAAATCTAATTTTATTTGTTCACGAGATATCCGAAGTGCACCATTAATAATTGGTCTACCCTACCCATAAACATACAAATGTGATTTTTTAATGTAAGTAATCAGTAATTTTTATTCATCTCTTTACATAATTTTATTGTAAAATGTCCCTGGTGCTATTGTGCACAAAATACATAGCAATTGCTTTCGTAGACTTGGCCACATCATGTAAAATAATGTCGGTCATTATAATTGGACATAATATTTTTGCAAAAATGAGTCATTATAAGCGACATGTCAATGTAAGCGATGTCAATATATCGGACTAGACAGCTGTTTTTTTCAAAGAATTTTATATGGAAACCAAGCTTCCTAGTGCGATTACGTCATTATAAGCGGTTGTCAATATATCCAGCGTCATACCAATCGGATTCTACTGTATATATAAAATTCTTCTGTAATGATGTATGAGAGGATATTACTCCTAAACGATTATTCGGATTTTGATAAATCTTTTTGAAGTTTGTTAAGGAAATTTTTTATGATTTTATGGTTATAAAGATATAGTAAGATTGTAAAAATAAATGGAAAAAATTACACAAAAACGCTTATCAGTGTTTGAAATTGAAAATATTTGAGGTGTTGTTTGGCATTGAAAACGAATGAAAACTATCATCTGCCAAAAATTTCAATTTACTCATAACTTTAGAATATGTATATAATTCATGATTATGAATAAGAAATTACCTTTAAAATAGTATATTACAAGTTTCGATAAAATCAAATTAAAAGAGTTTTAATCCAATTAATGCGGGGTGTTGACAGAGTACAATTGTTTTCACTTCTGAACTTAAGATTAAGATTAGCCTATTTCCAAAATATCATGCAAATCACAGGTCACGCCCTTTTTTCTTCTCCATTTACTGCACTAATTTTGTTGATCGTAGATTGAATAGAGCACACGTGAACAGGATTTGACAAATTAATTCACTTAAAATATGAGCTTAAGTAATAATGTATATTGAATTTTTAATGAGAAAAATGTAATTTAGATATTATTGCTGAAAACATTATGGGCAACATTATTGAAGCAATTATTTTGAGTCAAAAAATACAAGGTGATATTGTACCTTTACCGCGTATACTATATATTAATTCTTTCTGAATTTGTTTAATAGACGGCATTTTGAAAAATTAGTCGATTACTTAAATGATTATTATGAAATAGAAATTTTCGGTGGGAAGGTGAAAATTTAGGGTTGTATGTTTTTTTTTAATTAATAATTATAACTAGTGGTGTATGGCATCGTGCCTTAAGGCAAATTGCTGGAACTTTTCGTACCGTAATAAAATATTCGAGAAATTTTAAACGTTTTCAAATATATTATTACAAATACTGTAACTTTTATTATTTTTGTTATCTTGTTATATCTGAGCAAATCGAATGTAAATCATAAATCAATTCAATTTATCTCCAGAACATTAACAATCGTCATTTAATTTCGAATTAAATTCAAAAAAAAAAAATAGTTGCCTAATTTACACAAAATTGAAAAAGTGCTCCTGTATAGCACAGTCTAAACGCATTTGCAAATAATTCTGTGCGACATTTTCACTTATACACAAAATTTGAAAAGTGCCCCAGTACATAAACAGTCTAAACGCACTTGAGTAAACATTTGTACCAGAGTGGCGCTTAGACTGTGCTTAGCCTGGGTAATTTTTTGAATTTTCAATCCAAAATTACAAAAATATTTTATAGAAAATAAAAAAGATGTAATAATTTTTTATCCTCAAAAGCAATTGTTTTGTCAATACAAGCAGAAAGTTTTTTAGATCAGTCAAATCGGACGCTTAGTTCACTCAAAAACTGCCATTTTTTGCACATTTAGCTCTGTATCTTCGAAATGGCGGGACCTGTTTTTGCCAAAAACTAATCACCTCTTTTCCCAATCATTATAAATTGAATGTTTTTTAGATCATTCAAATCCGATACTCCGTTCTCTCAAAAACTCGATTTGTATTTTCTGCACTCGTTGCTCCGTATCTCCGTAACGCCTGGACCTGCCTTCGCCAAAAACTAATCAGCATATCTATCTATCAATAGGGATCGAATTGTTTTTAAACCATTCAAATCGGTTGATCCGTGCGCCCGAAAACGTGGACGAAAAAATGCGGACATACAAAACGCACACACACACACACATCCGTTTTTTCTGAGGTATGCCAAATGTTCAGAAACCTTCAAAACGTCGAGAAATGCAAAAATTTTCATTTTAGATTTTCGGCCCATTACTATAACTACCCTACAGGAAGTAGGGTAAAAAATCCGGAAATTGGCGAAAAAATAAAAAAAACTTAAGGGTTATGTAAGAATTATTGGTCGATTAGTCCAAATTTTAAAACTTCTGCATTTTAAAATTATCCTAATCCAACATCGATGTCGCAATCTATTTTGTCGATATGTTCTCTTAAGAATAATCACACTATATAAGTTTTTCACAAAACTTATCATTTATTTTTTTAGAGAGAAATTCACATTACAAGAAACGATAGCTACATTGACCCAAGAAGTTTCAGAATTGAGATCCCAATGTGAACATCTCACCAGTGATAAAATGAGTTTGGAAAGAGATTCTGTCGGTTTCAAAGAACAATTAAGAATACTAAAAGCAGCTTTAACAGACGAAACTTCCATAAAAGAGGCACTGACTAGAAGACAATTACATTTAAGAAACGAAGTAAGCATAAAATATTAAGTTACATCTATAAAATTAATTCAATTTATTTTATTTTAAATGACTATTATTTTACAGTTGGATAGGATACATTCGGAGCATGATATAGAATGGTGGAGGCGAGAACGTTGTGAAACTCAAAAAAATGCTTTGGAACGAGAAAATGGCTCGTTGAGGGCTGAATTGGAGGAACTGCAAAGCGTTTTAGCCATTAGGGATCATGGTGGAGCGAAATATAAAAATCTGCAAGCCAAGGATCAGGAAATATTGGATTTGAGGAAGGAATTGGCGCAGAAAACAAAGGTTAGAATCTCAAATATATATATTTATATATATATACTAGCTGGCCCGGCAAACGTTGTTTTGCTAAGTAAGGTATTTTCTAAACAATTTCTAGAGTATCAAAAAAATTAATATTTTAATTTAATTCTATAAGGATGTATTGTTTGAATGTCATACAATAAGGTATTATAAAATCAGTAAACCCCATTAGTTTGTCTATATTTTGACAATACAATCAAACTGGAACTTTTATACACTTTCTATAGAAAACATGGCATAATCCAAACTATATTTCAAAATATTTTTTTTTATTAATTTGTTGATGATTATACTTATTGCTGATATATAGAATATAATCACCTCAAATACTCTATTTAAATACGTATAAACAAATATACATAAATACCTAAGTATATAAATGATTTACATTCCCATTTCCAAGAAATGAATTTCTCCATCGTCCATCTGGCATCTCTTGCTATTATTAAGAATTAAGTCATTTCCCACTTCGTAATAATTTTCCGTGGTGATTTAAAAAATTATATTATTCACGTAATAATTTTCCAAAAGTGGTGATTAAAAAATGCATATTAATTAATATATGTGTATCAAAACAGAAACACCGAATGACAGTTGACAATTGAAAATAAATCTAATGGATAAAATCATTGATAGAATCATAGATTGAATAAACTAAATGGATAGTTTATAAATAATTAATTTTGAATTAGAATGAAAAACTCGATAAAAAGTATCACATATGTTTTTCCTGGCTCTAAACTACCTCCCTGCCAAATTTTCATCTAAATCGGTTCAGCTTATCTATCTTAAGCGATCCTCTTTTATATATAGATATATATATATATATATATATATATATATATTAGATGACCCGACAGACGTTGTCCTGTACCCATGTCTACAATTCAAAAGTTCCAATTTTTTGGAATAACCTATGCTGATATTTACCAACAATTAAATTTCAAATTCAAATAAAAAAACGATTTTGCTTTTTCATATCTATCAATATGTTCCTAGGACACATTATAAAACACCGGTTTATTAAGATTTTAATTGATTTAATTTTGTTCATGGCATGATTCTTGTTAAAATGTATATTCTTGGAGATATTTGCAAACAACAATGAAAAGCGCCAAAAAGAAGCGAATTTTCAATAGCCAGTAACTTGAAAAGTATTTGCTTTTTTTAAAAACCTTATAAAACATTTTTCATCCGCCCTGGGAAGTGGCAAAAGAATCTAAATTATTTTTTCTTTTGAACTTGAGAGTAAGATGAAAAATTTATATAAATATATATAAATTTATATAAATATATAAAAAATATATAAATGTAAATTTGTATAAAATTTTATACAAATTGGAGCACAGTGAAAAAAATCAAACCCAAAACCCTCCATTGGCTTCAGTAAGTATTTCGTATCCAATGCGAAACACATGAATTTTTGACACAATGAAACTTCTAAATAATTTTTGGAATAAGTAAATATTTTGTAATAAATAATAATCTGTCAAATTGAAATATATAATTCACTGACACTCCACAACCGTCAGTCGCATGCGCAGACTGTACTTCTGCCAAACCTATAATGTATCATATACTATTTTAATTTTTGGCACCTTCCAGCTTCTTTTCGGCAATAATAATGTAGTCATTACATTTTTCTTATTCATAATAATAAATTATATATTATTATATGTTAATATTGTTCTATAATTAGCCTATAAGTGAATTGAAATGTTTGGCATATAACAGCCTTCATTTGTTTTTAATGTCAAACAATGTCTCAAATATTTCAATGTCAAACAATGATAAGCGGTTTTTTATAATTTTTTACATTTATTTCTACAACCTAACTATATTCCTATAATTCGAAAAATCTTTAAAAATTTTCTTAACAAACTTCAGAAAGATTTATCAAAATCCGAATAATTGTTTAGGAGGATTATTCTTTCATACATCATTACAGAAGAATTTTATATATATATATATATATATATATATTATATATATATATATATATTCATATATATATATATATATATATATATATCCATATATATACAGTTAACCCTCGCATAACACGTTACTTCTCTAACACGGTTTAAGAATTGAAACCACTCCCTTATAAGACGGTACTTTTAAAGCACGGGTTCGCTCTAACACGGTTTGAGAATTGAGCAAAACCTCTAACAAAATAAAAAATGTAGTAAAGTGTATGAAAATCAAACTTTATTTAATCTAAAATTAGTAAAATCGCCGTACAATAGCTCAATGAATGTGATGAAATTAATGCAAAAGATAACTAATTTCATACTTATGATGAGAAAAAATTTTGGGCTTAAAACAGTTAGTCAATTATAATTAACTGACTATAGTCTTCAACAAAGATCCTTTAAATAAAATGAGCATGGAATTTTACTGAAGATAACTTTGCATGTGGTAAATATATAAATATCTTTTCGCTAAAAGCTAGTAAAAGCAAATATATTTTTTTCGCAAAAAATAATGCATGGATCTGGAGGTAGTACAGAAAACTGTTCAGAGGATGAGAATATCTTGCAAAAAAAGGATCGCTTTGGATATCAGTTAATTATGTTAAAAAAATCATATAATTTATGTAATGTATATCACTTCTTTAAAAAACCAATAAATATAACAATATTTAGTAAAAAATCATGATATTTAGCATCTTTGAATTGTTGGAACAAAAGCCCTCTTTCTGTACTAGTCCCGTACAACACGCTAGTTTTTTGGAACGTAACTACCGCGTTTTGCGGGGGTTACCTGTATATATATATATATATATATATATATATATATATATATATATCTCTTTCTATTATTTCAGGAATTAGCTGACCTCAAACATATGCATGGAAAATTGAAAAATTGCTACCACGACACACTGACTTCTGTTTCTCAAGCTCAAAGTCGGTCAGACCAGTATGAAAATGAAATTAAAAAATTGAGAGGAAGGATAGATGAACTAAAGGTAATATCATATAAAAAAATTACTATTAATTTCAGTAAGTTTTTTTAACTTTTTTTTTCATTTTTATTTTTAGCAAGAACTATACAATGCTGAACGAGAAGTAGAAAGCGCCACAAATAATATTAGGAGACTTCACAGAACAAATGAAGAACTGCAGGCGCAAATTGGAGTTTTTCAGACTCAGATGGATCAATTGCACAACAGGTAAATATTTATATATATATATTATATATATATATATATATATATATACTAGATGACCCGACAGACGTCCTGTACCCGCGTCTACAATTCAAAAGTTCCAAATTTTTTTTACATCCTATCCTATACATTTTAATATCCCATTTGATATTCTGCCTTTGTGATTCATTTATGGTCTTAGCATAAGTTGTATAAGAAATTCAGAAAAAAATAATACAGTATCTGCCGTAAAACAACAATATTACACTTGATTTTACCACACAACATAATTGCTTCAATAATTTAGTCTATAATTTTCATAATCTCGTGCGATATGTTAGTTGCTCTTTTATTTTCTTAATTTTATAAACATTATTGTTTATGTTTAAATCTTATGTGAATCAATTTGTAAAATCTAATTCACATGTGCACTATTCAATCTAAGATCAACTTCCTAAATATTCCACATCCAATGCCAAATAAATGATTTTTTGTTACTTGAAACAAAATTCTAAATCATTTTTTTAATAAGTAGAAATATTTTTTTGTAATGGTAAATAATTTAGTAAAGTAAACCAAAATACGACATGCATAATAAAAAAATAATGCTTACGTAATTTTAGACTTGTTGCGTTATTTATTAAACTGAACTATATAATTTCATCTGCCAAATATATACTGTTGACTGTATCTCATATTATTTTAATTTCTGGTACATCTCAACTGCTTTTCGGCAATAATAATGCAGGCATTACATTTTTCTCAATTATTATATTCTAATATTATTTAAGCTCATAAGTTTCAGCTTAATTCCAATATCAAGTGAATTGACATTCCTAGCAAATATTTTCAATGTCAAACAATGATAAGTGGTTTTTTCTAATTTTTGCCATTTATTTCTACAATATTACTATAGTTTCAGCGTTTATTAAATCTTAAAAATTTCCTTTGACAAATTCTAAAAAGAATTATCAAAACCCGAATAACCGTTTAGGAGAAGTACCAAATCATACACCTGTATAGAAGAATTTTATATATAAGATATATGGATTTATTTATATGTTTATTTAATGTGAATACTAAATTTTTGTTCTAGATTGCAAAGCTGTGATTCCCCAAGTTTGTTGTCAATAAGAGGACCTCCGGAAGAGGCATCTGAAAGTGAAACTGATTAAAAGGTTCCATCATAATCGGTAGAGACGTGTTTAAATAGGAAACAAAATACTCTGGTGAATTACTTACATTATTTGGTATGTGCAAAAACATATATTTTATGACTATCTTTAATTTAATTTTATATAGGTATGAATAATTTTTATATATGTGATATAATTTTTAAATCTAAGTTATTTTTAACTATATATATATATATATATATATATATATATATATATATATATATATATATATTTGTATGAATGATACCTCAAAGACTTTTATGAAATATTTTTAATCGGTCTGAAACGTACATCTTAGAATAAAGGTGATTTAGGTACCAATTCTGCCTCATAACAGACCAATGATATGGCAAGGCCATGTTACCATACATTATGCTACTGAATCCTACTGAATACTGTCAAAATCATGTCTTTGCTGTGCATTCAGACGTTTTAGACATAAACTGCAACGTCACCCGTATGTTATGAACCTGAGTCAGAAAGACCCCGTTATCTAACATCGTTTCTTGACATTTGTGAGGTTTCTAGGTTAGGTTTTCTACCTGACAACCTGAGGAAAACGCCTGACTGCACAATAACGACATGGCTTTTGTCAATATTTAGTATGGAAAGTTTTTTATAACATAGCCTTGCCATAACATTGGTCTGTTCAGAGTCGGTTCCTTAATTTTAGAAGTATGAAAATTATGATTGATCGCCCTAAATATCTGGAACTCACAATAAGAATTTCAGATTTATTCTTACTATCTTCTCTATCACCATGCAAAGTTTCATATAAATCCCAGATGACTAATTTGACCTTTTTCTCTGTTACGCTTAAATATAAAACTATAGTATTATAATTATCAAATCTAAATTAAAATCAAGTTTTGTAATTTGTATTATTTTCTACAATTAATACTCTGATCAGATTTGATAATGTAAATGTGTACGTCCATTTAAGAAAATGTATTATATATAAATAAATATAAATAAATAATTTAAAATTAAACTAGGTAGTAAAATAAGTTGCAGGTTTAATTTTCAGATAATTTATTAAAAAGCTAAATATACAATTTTTATTAAAAGTGTCCTTAGGCAAATTAAAGATAATTAAATTATAAGCAATTTAATGCAACAACAATTTATTTTAAATTCAGCTTAAGAAATATGTTTATTTCACATTAATTTTCATCGCTTTTCTGACTATGATGTGTCTCTTTAAATCCTTCGATTGTATTGTATTCATGACTGCGAGGAGTCATGAACCATCATGTGTTTTTTCAGACTATATGTTCTTTGAAATTTCTTCTTGCATATGCTGCATTCATAGGGGCGTTCACCACTGTAAATGAGCATGTGACTTTTCAGATTATTTAATTGTGTGAATTTCTTATTTCATATGTTGCATTCGTATGGGCGTACACCGCTGTGCATTAACATGTGTTGTTTCAGGTGACTTGCTCGTTTGAATCGTTTCTTGCATACATTGCATTCGTGAGGACGTTCACCACTGTGAATGACAATGTGATTTTTCAAACTGCCCAATTGAGTGAATGTTTTATTGCATATGTTGCATTCGTGAGGACGTTCACCACTGTGAACAAGCATGTGTTGTTTCAGATGAACTTCTAGTTGGAATCGTTTCTCGCATACATTGCATTCGTGAGGACGTTCACCACTGTGAATGACCATGTGTTTTTTCAGACTACCTTTTCCTGTAAATGTCTTATTGCATATGTTGCATTCATGGGGGCGCTCACCACTGTGAACAAGCATGTGACTTTTCAGATAATCTAAATGCGTGAATGCCTTATTGCAAATATTACATTCATATGGGCGTACACCACTGTGTATCAGCATGTGTTTTTTCAGATGACTTGCTCGTTGGAATTGTTTCTTGCATACATTGCATTCGTGAGTACGTTCACCACTGTGAACGAGCATGTGTTGTTTCAGATTGCTTGAGTCTGTGAATTTCTTATTGCATGTGTTGCATTCATGGGGACGCTCACCACTGTGAACGAGCATGTGACGTTTCAGATTATTTAATTGTGTGAATGTGTTATTGCATATGTTGCATTCGTGAGAACGTTCACCACCGTGAATGAGCATGTGACTTTTCAAACTACGCAATTGTGTGAATGTGTTATTGCATTATTACATTCATACGGACGTGCACCACTGTGTATCAGCATGTGTTGTTTCAGATAACTTACTACTTGGAATTGTTTCTTGCATACATTGCATTCGTGAGGACGTTCACCTGTGAATGAGCATGTGACTTTTCAGATTGCTTAAGATTGCGAATTTCTTATTGCATATGTTGCATTCATGGGGACGCTCACCACTGTGAACAAGCAAATGTGACTTTTCAGATGACCTAATTGTGTGAATGTGTTATTGCAAATATTACATTCATATGGGCGTACACCACTGTGTATCAGCATGTGTGTTTTTCAGATGACTTGCCGTTGGAATGTTTCTTGCATACATTGCATTCGTGAGTACGTTCACCACTGTGAATGAGCATGTGACTTTTCAAACTGCCCAATTGTTTGAATGTTTTATTGCAAATATTACATTCATATGGATGTACATCCCTGTGCGTCAACATGTGTTGTTTCAGATGACTTCCTAGTTGGAATCGTTTCTTGCATGCATTGCATTCGTGAGGACGTTCACCACTGTGAATGAGCATGTGTCTCTTCAGATGAGATAAATGTTTGAATGTCTTATTGCATATGTTGCATTCATTGGGACGCTCACTACTGTGAACAAGCATGTGACTTTTCAGATGACCTAATTGTGTGAATGTGTTATTGCATATATTACATTCATATTGGCGTACACCACTGTGTATCAGCATGTGTTTTTTCAGATAATCTACTAGTTGGAATTGTTTCTTGCATACATTGCATTCGTGGGGACGTTCACCACTGTGAATGACCATGTGTCTCTTTAGATGACCTAATTGTGTGAATGTCTTATTGCATATCTCACATTCATAAAGATGCTCTCTCCTGCGTTTATTATTAAATGTCTTATTGCCTATTTCAAATTTGAAAGATCTTTTACCCGGATGTTTATTCATGTGTGTTTGCAACTTTTTAGATTGTTTGAAAATCTTATGACAGACTTCACATTTGAAGGGACCTTCTTCGCTGTGATTGATCATATGCTTTGTTAAATGATGTGATTCTGTAAATGATTGATTACAAATGTCACATTCATAAGACTCCTGTTTGACTTCATCTTCAATTGTCACCTCGGAATTCATAAATCTTTCTAAACACGTATCATCATTTTCAGAAAACGATTCAGATTTAACAATAGCATCGATGGCATCAAATTTGTCCTCATTTTCGCATTTAACATCTTCTACTGGATATTCGGGTGGCTCAATTTTGATTGGCTTTTCAGTCATAGACATAATCATTTCTTCTGACATTTTGAAATATTTTCAACGCCAACAGCTAGTAAATATTTACGAAAATAAATGTGTCCTATACAATAATAATTATAAACTAAATTAATCAGTAAATGATTTCAACTACCTTCATCGTTTGACATTTCAAGCATAGAGCATGTTTATTGAAAGATGAGACATTTTTCCAAACGCTTTGATATTTAACAAATGGCGCGTCTTTTGAAATTCACCATGGTTCTTTACGTGTCTCTTTAAATGTTTTTTGTTAATTAAGCTTCAAATAATTAAATTATTTAAAATGTACGACTTATCTTAAAAGTATCTCTAGACGAGGTAAAGATAAACAAATTATCTACATTCCAGTCTTATATTATAATGACCTACAAAATTTTTCATAATATTAAACCTCTCATAAACTTTGTTGAAGCGATTTCCTGTACAACCTGTGCATTTTTCTAGATTATGCTTAATATATCTGAAAATCTAAAAATTATCTTAAAAGTCTTTTCAGATGAGATAAAGATAAATAAATTATCTCTAACTTTTTCTTATTTCTTATTATTTAATTTATCTTATTTCTATAATTACCTAGAAATCCTTTTTATATTTTTAACCTCTTTTTCTTGAGCCATTTTCATCAACATGTAGATACATTTTTTATATTATGCATAATACATCATACATTACTAATTACAGACCGATATCATTATTATCAAACTTTGCTAAGGTATTTGAAAAAATTATTTATAGAGAACTAATTCCTTCTGCTAGAACTTTAATTTCTATTAATCAACATGGTTTCATGCCTGCCCGTTCTACGATAACAAATTTAATTTGTATTAAACAATATATAGCTGAGAATCTTGACATCAATGGACAAGTTGACGTTATTTACACTGATTGAAAGAATTTTTTGAAAGATTAGAAAAGCAAACTTAGTTTTTGGAGAATTTTGAATCTATTTTTTTGAAAATCTTGAAAACATTTGAATAATTTGAATATTGAAAAAATTGGCTTCTTCAAAAGTTACGAAATTATCTAAATAATTTGAACATTTTTGAAAATACTGATTTTTTTTGAAACTTGAAATATTTTTTGCCTCAAAGTAAATTGCTGGAACTTTCCGTACAGTAATTCAAACTATTTCGGAAGCTCAGAAAAGAAAAATTAGTTTTTCTGGATCTCCAAAACGGCTAAACATGCCTTTACAAAAATTTAATCAATTTATCATTACGCCAATACAAGTGAATCATTCAAATCGGATGCCCCATTCTCTCAAAAACTTTTTTTTTCATTTTTTGCACTTTTTGCTCCGTATCTCTAAAATTGGTGAACCTGCCTTTCCCAAAAACTAAGTGGCATCGTGCTTTACGGCAAGTTGCACTTCTAGAAATTAGTAAATAAACGACTTAATCAATACGAATCGACATTTAATCAATTTTAAAATTATTTTCAAATTTTGATGAATTTTTTATAAGCTTTTTTCTTCACTTCTCATTAGATGAGAAGTGAAGAAGAAAGCTTTCTTCTTCACTTAGATTTGATAATGATAATGTAAATGTCCATTTGAGAAAATGTATTATATATAAATAATTTAAAATTAAACTAGGTAGTAAAATAAGTATAATAAGTTGCAGGTTTAATTTTCAAATAATTTATTAAAAAGCTAAATATACAGTTTTTATTAAAAGTGTCCTTAGGCAAATTAAAGATAATTAAATTATGAGCAATTTAATGCAACAAAAATTTATTTTGAATTCAATTTAACAAATATGTTTTTTTTACATTAATTTTCATCACTATGAACTGCCATGTGACTCTTCAAATCATTCGATTGAGCAAATCCCTTATTGCATATATCACATTTCTAAGGAGCCTTGCGGTCATGAACCATCATGTGTTTTTTCAGACTACCTTTTCCGATATGTCTTATTGCATATGCTGCATTCATAGGGGCGCTCACCACTGTGAATGAGCATGTGACTTTTCAGATTGCTTGAGTTTGTGAATTTCTTATTGCATATGTTGCATTCATGGGGACGCTCACCACTGTGAACGAGCATGTGACGTTTCAGATTATTTAATTGTGTGAATGTGTTATTGCATATATTACATTCATATGGGCGTACATCACTGTGTATCAACATGTGTTGTTTCAGATGACTTACTAGTGGAATTGTTTCTTGCAACATTGCATTTGTGGGGGCGTTCACCACTGTGAATGAGCATGTGTCTCTTCAGTTGACCTAATTCTGTGAATGTCTTTTGCATATACTGCATTCATGGACCGAATTCCACTGTGAGTGAGCAGTGTTTTTTCAGATTACCTGATTGTGTGAATGTCTTCTTGCATATGTTGCATTCATGTGGGCGCTCACCACTGAGAAGTAAGCATGTGATTTTGAGACTACTTGAATGTGTAATGTCTTCTTGCATGTGCTGCATTCATGGGAGCGCTCACCACTGTGAACGAGCAGGTGGCTTTTCAGATTACTTAATACGGTGAATGTCTTCTTGCATATGTTGCATTCATGAGGTCGCTCACTACTGTGAACGAGCATGTGTCTTTTCAGATTGACCTAATTCTATGAATGTTTTATTGCACATACTGCAATCATAGGGGCGAACACCACTGTGAATAAGCAAGTGATTTTTCAGATTACCCTTATTTGTAAACGTTTTATTGCATACATTGCACTCATGCGAGCGTACTTCCCGGTGTGTCACCATGTGTTTCTTCAGATGACCTAATTCTGTGAATTCCTTATTGCATTTCTTGCATTCATGGAGACGCTCTCCACTGCCTTTATTATTAAATGTCTTATCATTTATTTCACATTCATAAGTGTCACATTCATAAGACTCCTGTTTGACTTCTTCTTCAATTATCACCTCGGAATTCATAAATCTTTCTGAAACACGTTTCATCATTTTCAGAAAACGATTCAGATTTAACAATAGCATCGATGGCATCAAACTTCCTCAATTTCACATTTAATGTCCCCTGCTGAATATTCGGGTGGCTCAATTTTAATTGCCTGTTCATTCGTAGACATAATCATTTCTTCTGACATTTTCAAATATTTTCACTGCGAACAGCTAGTGAATATTTACGAAAATAGTTGTGTCCTATACCATAATAATTATAAACTAGATTAGTCAATAAATGATTTCCACCATAAGAAAACAAGTATAATAAAGTGCTTTTAACTTCCTTCATCATTTGACATTTCAAGCATAGCGCATGTTTATAGATAGATGAGACATTTATCCAAACGCTTTGATATTTAACAAATGGGCGCGTTTTTCAAATTCATTATGGTTCTCTATGCGACACAACTATCAATGAATGTTTTAATAATTAAGCTACAAAAAATTAAATTATATACAGTTTTATCTGATATTACAATTGCTACAAAATTATTTATTATATTGTTAAAACGCTCTTGATTTCTCGACGCAATTTCCTGAACAACATGTGCTTTTTTCTACATTATGCTTAATGTCTCTAAAAATCTAGAATTTATCTTGAAAATATCTTTAGACAAGTCAAAGATAATAAAAATTATCTACAATTTTGTCTATTATAATTACCTACAAATACTTTTTATATTTTTAAATCACTTATGAATTTCTTGCATTATTTCATTAACAATGTGTGTGTACATTTTGCTCAAAGCCAAATTGGACCTTTGTGTCTCGTTCTGCTCTACATATATACTTTTTATTAAATTTTCTTTAATTCATCGAATGTTACTTAAAACTTTTCAAAAAGAAGGTCAAAGAAGAAATACTTAATTCATTTTCTATCTCTTCTCGCAAAAATTTGAAAATTTTTCATAAGCTCAGTAGTATTATTTACAATTATACACAAAATCCAGAATCCAAAAGAATCTGAAAAATTTGAAA